GTCTGGCAACTCTGCTCAAGCCTGTCAAACGATCGAAGGGAAACTGACTTGGCTGAGCAGATAGACGATTCGACATTCTGCACAATGGACGACGGCGCACCCACCAGGATTATGGGCAGCTGCTGCAGCTCGCCAGATCTAACAATTGTCAGCGCTGGTATGATCAAAAGCGTATCTTGGCGACCTATGCTGACCCTAGCAGCAGACCATCTGCCCATAGTCATCTCGATTGATAAACCTGCCGATTTGCTTCCGCGGATCACCGGGCCTGTGTCAACTTTTCAAAAGCTGACTGGAAAGGCTTCGCGGAATTTACTGAAAACACCTTCGCTGCACTACCCATACCAACCGACGTCCACATAGGTGAACGTAAGTTCCGCAGGGTTGTCACTGCTGCTGCAGCTCGCTTAATCCCAGCAGGACGTATTAAGGATCCACGTCCGAACTTTCCTGCTGAAGCGGCTGTTCTAGCCGATGAGCGTGACAACGTTCGTCAGGCCTATCCCGGAAATCCCCGTATCAGGGATCTTAATTCGGAGATTCGGCAACTTGTGAACGTACATAAGCGGAAGAAATGGGAAGAGCATTTGAGGACCTGCAACTTCGCCTCTGGTGTGAGTAAGCTTTGGTCAACCGTGAGGTCGTTGTACAACCCGACGAAGCGTGACGACAGAGTCGAAATAGACTTTGGTGACCACGCTTCGTCGGACCCGGAGCGATGCGCGATCTATTTTAGCCGGCAGTTCAGGTCCTCAACTTGTCTACTGCCACTCTCGTCATTCCAGACATATGGAAGATGGGGAGAGTGGTCCCACTGCTCAAACCGGGGAAACCAGCCAACAAAGGAGATTCTTATCGCCCGATAACCCTCCTTTCCCCGGTAGCGAAGACACTAGAGGCCTTGCTACTCCCGTATTCCACGAACCACCTGCCTCAGCGAAGCATCAGCATGGGTTTCGTAAGGTGCATAGCACAACCACAGCACTTAACGCCATAAACACTCAGATAACTCGTGGCCTTAACCGAAACCGCCCCTGTGAGAGAACTATTCTAGTAGCGTTGGACCTGTCAGTCATTCAACTAATCACATTGCTTGGTTACTCCCTAAGCTATTTCCCCTCATTTACATTCATTCTTTATTTACTTTTGGTACTCATGTTGTATACGCTGACCCACATCACTCTCACCCGATCTTGCATTTGTAATAGCAAGCGTTAAGTGTGCCACATGTGGCGCCACACGTTAAGCCAAAGTGCAATCCATTACGAGTGTTCTGCATGTGTCATCAATCCACACTCGATCGTCACAACAAATACGCCGACTCAGCAATATGAGCCACAAGAGTTTGATATAGGTCAGGCACACTACATCCTACCCCTCAAGAAAAATCTAAATTAGTTGTAATTTCTTAAAATTCAAAGTAATTTATACGAGTAGATAGGGTTTTTTGTTTAAATTATTATTATGTAATTCTACTTTTTTTTATCTATCAGTAATGTACTATTTGGCCCTTTTTGATCTATAATCTTGAATGGACCTTTAAAAGGTTTTTCCAACTTTCTCTTGTTTCCTACTTTTATATATACAAATTCTTCTACTTGGAATTTTGCCTTTTTTACATTGCTCTGCTTATTTCTATTCACAATTTTTGATTGTAAGAAATTTTTTTTTGCTTGTAGTGTGCGCGTTTCAGTTTCAATTTCAATTCTTTTACATAATCATCAATATTGTATAATGTCTCTCTATTCTTTGTTATCTCACATGGTAATGCACTTAATTTGCCATAGACTAACTCAAAGGGAGTATATGTCGTAGTTGTGTGTGGAGTTGAATTATACCTATAGACGTAATATGGAATCATTTCATCCCAATTATCTACTCCTTGCATGGTCATCAAATAGTCGTTGAGAACCCTGTGGTTCCTTTCTAGTTCCTAAAGTCTCATGAAGAAAAGGTGTTGAGGTTGTTTTCTCTATTTTAAGCAACGTACATATGTTTAAGAGTTCGTTTGTAAATTCCGTGCCTTTGTCTGTCTTCATTTTCCTAAAACAGCCGTATTTTAATATAAATTTACCTACTATTGCTTTCGCTACAGTCGCTGCTTCTTTGTTTTCTAAAGGAATTGCCTCAACAAATTTGGTTAACTCACACTGAAGGGTTAGTATGTACCTATAGTTATTAGATGGCCTCAGCCAGACATTTTTCATATTTCAATTCTTGCAGCTAATTATATACTTTCTTAAATTCATGCATGCTTATTTTTTCGAAAATCTTATTATTTTCTGCTAACGCTAGCTTAGTAATTGCTTGCTTATTCGCTTCGAATGACAACTTCCTCAAAATCAATTTTAACTCTGATAGTAATTTTTCGCTGTATTCTACAATTATGCCACCTTTCTCTGCTAAAATGTTCATATCTTGGGCCCTTTTTTCATTTTTATTCTTATAATTTCTTTCTGGATTCTTCACTTTATCGTCAATCTTCCCTAACTTCCTGAACTCGAGTTTCTTCACGTACCTTAAATTCGAAATCGATGTCGCGTTCCAAATGTGGAGGTGATCAATCTCCTCACCTGAAATCGAGGTACCTACAAGGGCACGCACTTCTACCGTGTCTGTTTCTTCTTTGCCCTTCTTTAATTTTTCTTTCATATTTCTAGTTAATACATTAACACTACATGTAGGAATCATTTCTGCTCACTTCTTAGAATCTAGCACTATCCTGGAGAGAGCATCTGCTTTTGTGTTCATCTTTCCTTGTTTAAAGATTATCTCAAAATCATAATCCATTAAGTCTGTTCGAATTCTAGTTAATTTTGACGATGGGTTCTTATGAGTAAATAAACTAACTAACGGCCTGTGGTCGGAGCAGACTATAAATTTTCTGCCACACAGATATGGTCTGAAATAGTTGATGCCCAATGAATTGCGAGTAGTTCTTTTTCAATCACTGGCTTATTAAGTTCATGTTTGTTTAATGATTTACTTGCAAAGGCTATTGTTCTATCTTTTCCTATCTCCCCTTGCGACAAGACCACATCTAGCGCATAATTGGAAGCATCAGTCTTTAAAATCTGCGTAGCATAGTACTGGTGCTGAAATTCTTCTTCAAAGTAATAAAAGCTTTCTGATGTTCTTCTGCCCAACTGAAAATCTGTTTTTTCTTTAACAAGTTATTCAATGGTCGGCGAATTATCTAAGTGGTCGGCACTCGTCGGTAATGTCTATAGACAAATCGAGCAAACCTAGAAAAATAAAACAGGGGTTCCACAGGGTAGTGTCCTTTCCCCATTGCCGTTTAACTACTGTATTTCAAAGCTCCCTCAACCACCAGAGGGAGTCTCGATTGTCTCCTATGCTGACGATTGTGCGATAATGGCGGCTGGGAATGGAATTGATGACTTGTGTTCTAAAGTAAACCGGTATCTCTCCGAGCTTTCTCGCTTCTTCACTGCTAGGAGCCTAACCCTCTTCCCAACTAAATCCTCTGCGAACTTGTTCCCCACCTGGACGAAGGAGGTCAGACTACCGCTGGGAATTCACGCCGATTATACACCAATTCCGACGGTGAATAACCTCAAAATACTCCGAGTAACCTTCGACAGTCTGCTCAAGGCTGCAACAAGGGTCATCAAATCGCTAGCCGGTAGTACTTGGGGCAAAGTCAAAGAAACGTCTCTGGCAACATACAAGGCAATACGCCGGCCGATTTTAAATTACGCAGCACCAGTGTGGTCGCCGGGGACTAGTAGGATGCAGTGGACGAAGCTGCAGACGACTCAAAACTCTGCACTTCGGATATTGACTGTATGTCTTCTGATGTCGCCAGAACACCACATACACGGCGAGGCGATAATGCTCCCCATAAAGGAGCACAACACAATGCTCTGCAAGCAATTCCTAGTAGGGAGCCACAGACGTGGACACCCGAACAGACACTTGCTTGCAGAGGAGCCCTCGCCAAGATATGTCAGAAGGCATCTTTACGAACTGACGGACGAAGTCCAGATGCTCATAAAGCAACCTCGGGATCCGTCAGCTTATCGACAGGCCCTGAGCAGAATTCACAAGGAGTCAGTCTCGAGTTATGTAAACTCCAGACCTGTGAATGTCGTTCTAGCCACACAACCACCTGACATCGACGAGACGGAGCTTCATCTGCCTCGGGAGACTAGAACCACGATAGGCCAACTTCGCTCTGGCTACTGCAGCAGGTTAAACTCATATCTGAGCAGAGTAAACGCAGATGTGCCAAATGAGTATCCGGCATGCGGAGAGACATCCCACGACTCGAAATGTCTCTTCGTATGCCCGAAAACCCGACACAGGTAACGCCTTTGCCCCTGTGGGCCGACCCGATTGAGGCTGCACGCTTCTTGGGGCTTCCGCTAGTTGAGCTTGACGAAAAATACTGAGATATCAACCGATCTGGGCGGGGTTGTTGTAGCCGCTACAACAACAACAACATATGTGTAAGCACGAATTTATGGTTTCGCTTCTCACACGCTTGACAAACACACTTATACAGACGCTCTAGTATTTGTGTGGCCGGCATTGATATAAATTTATTTTATTTTGTCCCTTATTTGTGTTTTTTTTTTGTTATTTTATGGCAATGTACGTAACAATTATATTAAACAATTTTACTGAGTTTTGGGGCCGTTTTCTATGAAAAATGTCGTGGAAAATCAACAATAATTTTACAAATGTAGAAGTTAAAGCTGCTTTTCGGAGATGACCAGATCTTATCAGACTTCTACAACCGCGATCACTGCGATATGAAACAGGCACTTGGGATTACAAAGCCTCTCTCGTCTAACTTTGTACATTTATTTTTGTTTTTCCACAAAATTTTTCATAAAAATCGGTTCTAAGCTCAATAAAATTGTTGAATTTATTTTTTCCTTTTTTATTTTTCTTAATTTAGTTAAATTTTTTTATTTTATCTACGCGATGATTATAAACAAGCGTAGCACTTAAAAATTCTTTACTTTTTATAGGAGCTTAGCAGTGAAAAAATCGCAAGCAGCGTTCTTGAACAAACACGGATTGTGAATTCCACACAAATTCTTATAGTATGGATAAACAAGTCAATGCAAGTGGCCTTAACAGTAGGTAAGTCCAAACTTTCGAGTATCAAATCATACCCATAAAATAAATTGCTGAAACATTTCAAGATCGACTGCGTCCCATTGTCACCTATGGACGAATTGACCACAACACAGAAATGGTTATAGCTCCAAACTTGTACAAAGGTATGACAAATGGCAACAGCAATGACACCTCGTCTGATACCAGTGAGTCAAGCGGTAAAACTTCAAGTCACTTGGTACGTAGCAGCACCACCGCTCAAATTCGTAATGAAACTGCCGCAAACGGCGAGTCACAACTGGTTCGTTCTACAACGGCAAGCTATATTAAAAAGTTAACACGGTCAGACTCGCTTGCGAAAACTAGCCGTAAAGACAAAATGATTCGTTTAAAGAAGGATTTGCGTCGTGAAAGCACTCATATATTTGAGTTTCGTGCAATAAACGGAGAGTGGCAAACAAATTCACAAATTTCAGACGTATTTCTGAGCAAAAGTAACTGGCCTGAATTTTTGGAGTTGGACAACATCTACTGCATGAAGACACCTAGTGAACAGGAATACTATGTAAAAGTACGTGTGCTGGCTGATGATGAGCTACCCTGTACTGCGCACACAAGCATTCAAGTTTGTTTGAATCTCATGCAGAAATTGAATTTGAAAGAAATGGAGAAAGTAGTACTTAAACCAAAAGCGTCAGTGGTTAATTTCGTAGAAAAAATAGAATTATTCGCCCAAAAGAAAACACATTATAAGATTATTGAAAACGCGTTTAAACGATACGTTATTGAGAAAACAAACAAGTCATCCATGCTACTGAATCAGGACGAGGTTGTACGTTTGGAGGAGGATCTAATTGTAACTGTTGGCATTTTGCCGGAACACTTCCGCTACTGTGTTATAGATTCGCAATTTTTAAAAGAGTCAAAAATCTATGCTGCCGATTTGGTTCGTAAGGTCGCTGAGACCGTTGAAGTTCAACCGAAAATAGAATCCCCATTAACTGTTAAGGATTTAATAAAACTGCCTGCATATAATGAAATAGTTGCCAATTTAGTGGGCGAGTTGAAAATGGATTTGTGTTTGGATTCCAAGAATTCAGTACTTAGGCAAGGAAATGTACTTATAGCGGGTAAGTACAGGCATAAATGCCTCTGAAGAACAAAGTTACAGCTATATTAAATTTCGAAAACCGTAGGTGCATCTGGTACCGGTAAATCTGTGCTGGTAGAAAGGATATTGGATGAGTTGGTTAAGAAACCTTATTTTTGTTTTTTCGACATATTCTACTGTTCACGAAGCAAAGGAAGAAAGGTGCGGTCTTTTTATATTAACCACATACATATATATCGTTACCTTAATATACAAAGGCGCTATCTAACATTTTTGTTTCTATTTAAGGCTGTTTTTATTGAAGAATTAACTACTTTTATGCTGTAGTAGTTATTTTTAAAATCCAATAGGTGTTTAGTGAGTAATGAGTTATGCCCTTTTTAACCGACTTCCAAAAAAGGAAGAGGTTATTATAATAAGTTAATGATATATATAGCGTTCAAATTGCAAAACAAACTATATATTTTGGTACATTATCAGGCTGAATCGATACAAAAAGACTTGCGGAGCATATTCACTACTTGCTTGCAAAATGCACCTTCAATTGTTGTGTTAGAGAATCTCGATGTGTTGGCTCATTCTGCAGGTGATCAAGCAACACAGGACGGGGAATACTACAACCGCATCGCCGATACGGTGCATCAATTGATTGTTCAATATACCAGTACTAATCCCATTGCAGTAATTGCGACAGTGAGTGCGTTACAAGCACTAAACAAACGACTTTATTCACCGCGTGGACGACATCTCTTCCAAAATGTAACTAAAATGCCTGGTTTGGAGCGCGATGGAAGGGAAATAATACTTCAAGAACTGTGTGCTCATATTGAATCCGAAAAGTTAGATTTGCGAAAATTCGCAAACTTAACCGAAGGTTACAACAAAGGAGACTTAGTGCAGTTCGTTGAGCGTGCTATATTTTATGCTTACAGAATAAGTGAGTTGATTTCAGATGAATACAACAATTACACATATGCCATGATATATAACTACTTTTAGGCAAAACACATCCTATCCTTACAAATCAGCTTTTAATAGAATCCTTAGCGAATACGAATTCGTACTGCTTGCACGGTATTGAAAATCACCAAAAATTTAACCAAGACGATGACCTCGAAGAATTGTCCGTCGAAGAGGTGCCTGGTTTAGAGTCAGTTGTTTCGGTGTTGGAGGAAGTTTTGATGTGGCCTTCAAGGGTAAACATTAGCGCCCTTCTATTTTTGCAATCTGCATAATTTACGCGCTCAATTCTCTTTTTATACGCAGTTTCCAAGCATTTTCCAATATTCGCCGTTACGTAATCAGGCGGGTGTGTTGCTATATGGACCACCAGGTACTGGTAAATCGTTCCTGGTATCGAGAATTGCAAGCTCGTGGAACTTGCGCACAATATCCGTAAAGGGGCCTGAATTGCTGGCGAAATATATTGGACAAAGTGAAGAAAACGTTCGTAACTTATTCAATAGGTAATTTTGATTATTTTTATAACTTACTTCAATTATTAACCTATTAATATAGAATTTGCACTTCAATTTAACTCGAGCGCAGATTAGTTCAAACACATTTCAAATTGAACTATTCGGGAATGAAATTATACTAATCGCGAATGAGGTTCAAGTAAACGCACAAGTACTTATCCCAAACCAAATTTACATTGCATCATCGAATTATTCTCTAAAATATAAGGCGAATGAATATTCGTTATTTAGCAATTTGGCAAATTCTTCAACTTGTAAAAAAGTTGAGAGAAAGATATTTAGTTTTAACAATGCTAAAGTCCACAAAACGGACGGCGCAAAATTTACCTCCTCTTAAGAGGTCTCCAAACTCTGTAAAAAATCGATTGTTCTCCTAAGCTCGACTCGTGCTATTGGTTCCCTATAGTATGTAGCTCAACAAAAAATTGTTATATTTTTCAGGTTCAATTCTTGTTGTTGTAGCGGCTACAACAGCCCCGCCCACATCGGTTAATATTTCAATCGTTGTCGTCGAGTTCCACTAACGGCAGCCCTAAGAAGCGTGCAGCCTGTTGTTGTTGTTGTTGTATCGGCTACAACAACCCCGCCCAGATCGGTTGGTATCTCAGTCGTTGTCGTCAAGTTCCACTAACGGCAACCCTAGGAAGCGTGCAGCTTCTGTGGGATCTGTCCACAGGGACAGGGCCGTTAGGGTTGTCGGGTTTTCCGGGCATGCGAAGAGATGGTTCGAGTCATGTGGGGTCTCTCCGCATGCCGGACATTCGTTCGGCACATCCTCATTCAGCCTACTCAAGTAGGAGTTTAACCTGCTGCAGTAGCCGGAGCGAAGTTGAGCAAGTGTAGTGCGTGTCTCCCGAGGCAGATGAAGCTCTGTCTCGTCAATGTCCGGGGGTGGTATGCCTAGAACGGCATTCACAGGTCTAGAGTCTACGTAACTCGAGACTGAGTCCCTGTGAATGCCGTTCAGGGCCTGTTTGTACGCTGTCGGGTCCAGAGGTTGCTTAATGAACCTCTGGACTTCGTCCGTCAGTTCATATAGATGCCTCCTGACGTGCCTAGGCGAGGGCTCCTCTGCAAGCAGCTGTCTGTTTGGGTGGCCACTTCTGTGGCTCCCGATCAGGAACTGCTTGCAGAGCATTATGTTGTGCTCCTTAACTGGGAGCATTTGCGCCTCGCCGTGCAAGTGATGTTCTGGCGACATCAGGAGGCATCCCGTCGCTGTCCTAAGTGCTGTATTTTGTCCCGTCTGTAGCTTCGTCCACTGCGTCCTACTAGTCCCTGGCGACCACACTGGCGCTGCGTAGTTCAAAACCGGCCGGCCTATTGCCTTGTATGTTGCCAGCAACGTTTCTTTGTCTTTGCCCCAAGTACTGCCGGCTAGCGACTTGAGGACCTTGTTGCGGCTCTGCACTTTATTGACAATAGCGGTTGAGTGCGCAGAGAAGGAGAGCAGGCTGTCGAATGTTACTCCGAGTATTTTGGGGTTATTCACCGTCGGAATTGGTGTGTCATCGACGTGAATCCCCAGCGGTAGCCTGACCTCCTTCGTCCAGGTTGTGAACAGGGTCGCGGAGGATTTCGTAGGGGAGAGGGCTAGACACTTTGCAGTGAAGAAGCGAGAAAGTTCGGAGAGATAGCCGTTTACTTTCAAACACAGGTCATCAATTCCATTCCCAGTCGCCATGATCGAGCAGTCGTCGGCATAGGAGACAATCGAGACTCCCTCTGGTGGTTGAGGGAAATATAAAAGTTAAACAGTAGCGGGGAAAGGACACCACCCTGAGGAACCCCCTGTTTTATTTTTCGCTGCTTACTCGTTTTATCTCTAAATGTTACCGACGAATGTCGACCACTCAGATAATTTGCCGACCACCGTTTGAGCCTCTGTGGGAGAGAGGAGGCCTCTATATCTTCTAGCAGCGTGGAATGGCAGACGGTGTCAAACGCCTTTGACAAGTCCAACGCTACTAGAATCGTTCTCTCACAGGGACGATTGCGGTTAAGGCCACGAGTTATCTGAGTGTTTATGGCGTTAAGTGCTGTTGTTGTACTGTGCACTTTACGGAAACCATGCTGATGCTTCGCTGGGGTCAGGTGGTTTGTGAAGTACGGGAGTAGCAAGGCCTCAAGTGTCTTCGCTACCGGGGAAAGGAGTGTAATCGGACGATACGAATCTCCTTTGTTGGCGGGTTTCCCCGGTTTGAGCAGTGGGACCACTCTCCCCACCTTCCAGATGTCTGGGATGATGAGAGTGGCCATTGACAGGTTGAGGATCTCCGTTAGGTACGCTACCCCCGCAGGACCCAAATTTTTCAGCATCAGCATGCATATTCCGTCGGGACCCATGGCTTTGGAGGCTTTCGCCTTCCCGATGGCCACCTGAACTTCACCGCAAGTGAAAGCAAGGGGGGCACAATTTGTTGGCAGTTTGTGCAGCCTTCTGGTTACTCGACGCTTGGCTTTGTCTACCGGAGGATGCAGTATGAACTGCCGGCTAAAATAGCTCGCGCATCTCTCCGGGTCCGACGAAGCATGGTCGCCGAAGGAAATTTCGACTCTGTCGTCGTGCTTCGTCGGATTAGACAATGACCTCACGGTTGACCAAAGCTTGCTCACACCAGAGGTGAAATTACAAGTCTTCAGGTGCTCCTCCCACTTCTTCCGCTTATGTACGTTTACAAGTTGCCGAATCTCCGCGTTGAGATCCCTGATACGGGGATCTCCGGGATCGGCCTGACGAAGGCTATCACGCTCATCAGCTAGAACAGCCGCTTCGGCAGGGAAGTTTGGACGTGGGTCCGATTTACATCCTGCCGGTATGAAGCGAGCTGCAGCAGCAGTGATAGCCCTGCGGAACTTACGTTCACCGAGGTGGACGTCGGTTGGTGTGGGGAGCGCTGCGAAGGTGTTTTCAGTAAACTCCGCGTAACCTTTCCAATCAGCTTTGGAAAAGTTGATATAGGTCCGGTGTTTGGCGGAGGCAAAGTCGGTTGGTTTATCAATCGAGATGACTATGGGTAGATGGTCTGATGCTAGAGTCAGCATAGGTCGCCACGTTATGCTGTTTATCAGACCAGCGCTGACTATTGTGATGTCTGGCGAGCTACTGCAGTTACCCATAATCCTGATGGGTGCGTCGTCGTTCATTGTGCAGAATGTCGAATCGTCTATCTGCTCAGCCAAGTCTGTTCCCCTACGATCGTTTGACAGGCTTGAGTGCCAAAGATCGTGGTGCGCAATAAAGTCACCTACCACCATACGGTTTTCACCTCTGAGGAGCGCACCTATATCAGGGTGATATCCTGCCGGGCAGCAGGTGACAGGGGGTATGTAAATGTTAAATATTTCGATCTCGACATCGCCTGACCGGATAGCGATGCCCTGACATTCTAGGGTGGTATCCCTGCGGTCGATGTCTGCCTCGATAAGACGATACTGCACGGTGTGGTGCGTGATGAACGCTAAGCCACCACCATTATCTCGCTCGCGATCTCGACGGTGCACGTTGTACCCGGCGCAATTCAACAGAGTTGAATTGCTGTGCAGCTTCGTCTCTTGGACCGCAGCTATTAATATACCATGCCGACACATGAAGACGGTTATCTCCTCAATCTTGCTCTGTAGCCCGTTACAGTTGAATTGGAGGAGCTTCATGTGGTTCGGAAGACGTGTCGTGATGTGGGGTGTGAGTGAGGTGTATGTTCTTGCCGCCGTTGGCTGTGTGTGCTGCTGACGTGGTTGCCGCCCTGTGGTGGTGGTGGGGGGGCGTCGCAATTGACGTTTGCGACCGAGCAGCACAGCACGGGCCCTCGAAATTCTCCGTCCAATCTCGCGTGGTACGCAGACCTGAACATGCCCTAAAGTGGCACCAGCCAAGGCAGGTGTTGCACTTGACTGATGTCACATTACGGAATATTCTGGTCTGACATACCGTGCAGATTGTAGGGGGAACCAGGAGTTGTTGGCGGCGGCGTGTGGGTGGTGGTGCGGTTGTGTGAGTTATGTGGTCTGTGGTGGCTGTGGTACGGTCTGTGGTGTTGTTATGTTGTTGTGTAGTGGCGACTGTGTGTGGTTGCTGTGTGAGTGTGTGGGGCTGCACGGGCGGACTATCGTTTGCCGTGGAGGCTGCTCTGTTTGAGCAACAGGGGGCCACGTAAGACGTGGTCCACTGTCTGTGTGTCCGTAGTCCCGAGCAGACCCTGAGGTGACTTCACCCCTCGCAGGCATTACACTTGACTGAGGTGGAGTTGTGGTGTAATCGTCTTCGGCATACACAGCAGGTGTATATTTCTGGCCCAGGGTTTGACTCGATGCCAGCCCTGAGTAGGAGAATGCGTAGTAAATGTTGCCCTATGGACGGACAACTTCTGAGATACTTCGCCGACCTAAACGGGGTTAGATCGCCGAAACAACAGCCCTTGGTCGGGTGAAACCCGAGTCATTCCGGTACGTAGAACCGGCTGTCGTGGGAATGTAGCGTGCAGCCTCTACGGGGTCGGTCCACAGGGACAACGCTGTTAGGGTTGTCGGGTTTTCCGGGCATGTGAAGAGATGTTTCGAGTCGTGAGGGGTCTCTCCGCATGCCGGACACTCATTTGCCACATCCGCATTTAGTCTACTCAGGTATGAGTTTAACCTGCTGCAGTAGCCAGAGTGAAGTTGGGCTTTTGTTGTTCTTGTCTCCCGAGGCAGATGGAGCTACGTCGCGTCAATGTCCGATGTTTGTGAACGGCATTCACCTGTCTAGAGTCTACATAACTCGAGACTGAGTCCCTGTGAATGCCGTTCAGGGCCTGTCGGTATGCTGACGGGTCCAGAGGCTGCTTAATGAACCTCTGGACTTCGTCCGTCAATTCGTTGTTGTTGTTGTTGTTGTTGTTGTTGTAGCGGCTACTAAGCCCCGTTCGGGGCGGTCCATCCATCAACGTTGTCGTCAATTTCAGCTAGGGGGAGGCCCAGGAAGTGTGCTACTTCCACAGGGGCTGTCC